CCAGGTTTCCTGTGCCTCCCAATATCCTGGAGGGTTTCCTCCTCTCATGTCTCTGATCCACCTGGGTAAATCTGTGCTTCTCTGTCCTCAGGCCTCAAAATTTGTAGGTGACCAGGCTATAGCCTCTCACGGTGGCTGCTGAAGGATGCAAGTGACCGCTCCTTCCACTTCTGGACCAGGCTATAGCCTCTCACGGTGGCTGCTGAAGGATGCAAGTGACCGCTCCTTCCACTTCTGGACCCACCTCGCTTCCTGTCACAACGAACTTTGATCCCCTTGCTTCCCTTTGCCTCCTGTCCTGGCTGCTCCTACTTAACACCTGCTTATCAGCTCTGTCACTCTTCACTCTCTATTCTCTGGGGGTCATGCAGATGAGGGGCATGTGACCTTTAAGGACCCCTCCTCATCCCTCCTCAGTCATCCTTAGCAGTCCCAGATCCAAGAGCCAAAACGCCTGTCTTGGGCTTGGTCCTGGTTTTGTTTTAGAAGTGAAGCGGTCAGGAGTTAGTGAAAGAAGAGGAGGGAAAGCTGTTAATACCTTGAGATGGCACCTGAGAGACAGGACCAGGGAGACAGCTGTGCACTGGAGAGGGGAACCCCGGAGGAGAGCTGGTCAGGACTCAGTCCCAACATGGGTTGCATGGGTGGTGGGTTCCATGTGGATGGGGCTGCAGTGGTAGGGCTCCATGGGGCTGGGGGATGTAGCCTGGCCATACCTAGATCTGATCCTTGCTCAGAAAGTCCAGCCTGTGGTGCCCACTCTGTTTGGAGGTGGGTGCAAGGTTTGGGGCAGTTATTAACCAGCTGTATTGCCCTGAAAGCCTCTTTGTGGCCTCACCAGCCCTGCATTTGTGTGACGTCCTACCTGTGCTGTGTCTGAGCTGTGGTTCCACCCCCCCAGCCCCTGCCCTGGGTTTCTGTTTCTGGACTGGGGAGCATTGTGGGGTTTGGAGAGGGGCTCTGGTGCATCCCTTCATGACCAGCAGTGGGGCCCCAGGCACCTCTGTTCTCTGGTTGCTGTCCTGGGCAGAATGAGACTGGAGGTCAGGCACCTGGGTTTTTCATTATATTTTAGATCCCAGGTGTCTGACTTGAGCCGGTCGAGCTCAGACACTGGCTTCTTCTGAAGAGCGAGGCCCCTCTTTTGGTTGTGTTGCAGCTTCCTGCTCCTCCCAGCCTGTGTGCCTCTCCAGCCCCACACCCATCAGGGGCTTGCACTGCTTCAGTTTCCCACCTTTCTGTGCTCACTGAGGCCCACAATTCTTGAATGGTGCTTGCCTGATGCTGAAAGTTGTCTGAGCGGCACAGTGTGAGCCCTGAACCCCACTTTCTTTCTTGCCTTTCCCATCCTGTGAGCTCAGGATCTGTCTTAAGTGCCCTGTGTAACTTGCAGCTCCTCCCTCAACTGTCACACAAACGGCCTTGATTCACCTGTGCCCTGGTGCCACCCTTGGGTGGCATCCAGCTGTGCTGCCATCAGCAGCACTGTAGTTGGCAGCTGCACGCGGTGTCTGGAGAGGTGTGTTGCTTCTGGGGGCCACTGCCCCAACATGCTACTCCAGGCACGCAGCCCCCTGCCCTGCTTCCAAGGTCCTCCCAACCTGCTTGGGCATTCGGCACAGACTCACCGTACCCTCAGTGTGGCAATGACCTCTCAGCTTCCTGAGGAGGACACAGACAGAGCAAGTCCTCCAGTTTACCACGTGACTCTTCCTGGCCCCATCTGAGTTCATCTACCCAGAGTAGGGCAGCTGGGGGTCTCCATGATGTGCTTCCAAGGTGGGGTGGGAAGTTGTTCTTCTTTTGTGGAGGAGAACGGAAATCCAGGAGGGGCTGCTGGCCATTACTGTGTCCAGGGATGCTCATCTGAGAGCTGATGCCACATCCAGAGCTGGTCATTTCTGCAGCGTTGCCTCCCCAGAGCCCAGCTTTGTCCTGGAGACCCTGACCTCAGTGTACACTGCAGCTTGAGGAAGTCCGTGCCAAACAGTCCTGCTCAGGGCTTCTTGGACACTTGGTTCCTGGAGCCCAGCAGGGCCCCTCTGCCTTGCATGATTACTGCCAGGGTGCTCTGTCCAATAGTCCCCTCCACTGGGCCCCATGTACCCTGATCTCTGTTTGCTTCCAGAACCCCAGGAGCACGTAGAACCTGGGGACTCAGCAGGACTTTGGGCTCAGCCTTCTGTCCAGGGAACATCTTAGGCCTGACGCATCTTCGCAACCCGTGTTTATTTTGCTGTGTGTGCTTCTCAACCTGCAGCCTCCACCGTGGCTTGCAGTGGCTGAGGGTAGATGGCACACTCACTGAGGGTGAGCACCAAGTCTATTTCCACTCACACCGCTGTCAGTAGCCCTCTGGGAGAAGAAATGCAGCTCAGGTGTGACTGCAGCAAGCGTGTTTCTGTGGCCGCAGATGTGTGCATCTGACGTGGCATCATTGTGTGCAGGAGTGGTATTTGTTTGGCACATTTGTGGGTGCATCTTCGTGTGTCCTTTGGAGTCCTGCTAACCATTCCCGAGGTCAGCACATGGGTGTTGGAGCTTAGAGCACTCATTTGGGAAAGCCATCCCCAGCTGCCCTGTGGTGCAGATCTGTGCCCTTCGGTGCCAAAGCCACTGGCACAGACATAGGTCTGCCACAGTTGCCCTTGTGGTACTGGCCTGGTGTCCTTGGTGTGGTACTTCCCTGTGAGCAGACAGTTGCCCCTGTGCTGTTCTCACTGCAGTCATCGTCAGAGTCTCGCTCCCTGGCTGGGCTGCCACGACTTCCATCTCTCCAGTGTGCAGCTGGAAGGGGTCACAGTTCTCACACCTGCCTGACCTGGGCCTATTCTGTGTGGTCATCTGTCCTAAGACGTGTCTGACCCTGTTGTCCCTGACAGCCCTGAGAGAACATGGTTGGAGATGAAGGAGCCTGGCTGCCTCAGTGACGCATTGGTGGCCCAGTCTTGGTTATGAAGCAAGGACCTTTGAGCCAGCCTTGCATGTGGGTGGTCAGTTAGTCAACTGCTTGACACCATCAAGTCCAACCCAGGCCCTGTGACTGAGGGCACCTTTGCTCAGTGTCCCAGACCAGTGCTTGGAGATGGCCCTGTTCACACACAAACCAAGAATCGTCCTCAGACTTCTCATCCTGGAGCTGTCAATCGTGTGTTAGGTGGTCGCCATGACAACACCGTGGCCTCAGACTAGAAGAGGGCTGGCTCCTCCTTCTTGGACATGTCCCCTCTGTGTGTCCTCAAATGTCCTCCCTCCCTGCATGTCTGTGTCCTGATCTTATAAGGACCCCAGTCAGATTGGATCCAGTCCTGTAGTAATCTCATTTACCTAAGACCCTATCTACAGTCCAGTCACATCCAGGGTGCTGTGGCCTTAGGAATTTTGGAGGGGATAGTGCAACTCCTAACAGCAGAGTAGAAAATGCCTCAAGCCCCATGGCCTTTCATACAGTCTCAACAGTTACCAGTGTGTGGCCAGACTGGGTTCATGTAGGCCCCACTCTGTCCCACCTGTTCTAGTCAATAGCTATAACAAATGACCAACGTGGGTGGTTCTTACATTACTGGAGCCTGCAGTCCAGGGTCTGGGTTGGCCTCCAGGCCCCTCCTGGTCCCCCTCACGGAGAGCTTCTCTCCGTGTCCTCACATGGTGGGAGGGGCGGGAGTCTCTCTGGAGTCCACTTTATTAGAGCTTCTTTACTAAATCTGTACTGAGGCTGTGGTTGGTTATGCAGGCCTTCATGGGTCCAGAAACCTGTGTGTGTGTGTTTGGGCCAAACCCATGTCCACAGGGGCTGCCTGAAAGCCACTTCTCACGGGAAAGGCCACCTGGGTCTCCCTCTTCCTCCAGGACTACCTTCACACTCAGCAATGGGTTTTCTGACTTCTGCCAGGGGCCACAGTGAGGTCAGCGTGAGTACGTGTATGAATATGTATTAATGTGAGTGAATATGTCTGTGTATGTGTGAGCATGCCTCCGTGTGTATATCTGTGTGTGCGATTGTATGACTCTGTTGGTTTGTATGGGTATATATGAATGTGTATCAGTGTGTGTGCCCATGTGCTTATGGACACGTGGTCTTGAATGTGTCTGGTAAATCAGCCATTGCATCAGTCATCCCATTGAGTCTTGAACACTCCTTCCTGGCCCCGGGGCTCTTGAGTCTTCTTATTCGCTTCCCTGGCTACACCAGGTGTTTGGGTACATCCCACACTTTCTATCCCTAACCTGGACTCAGCCTCACCAAGGAGCCCCAGGTTCTCTGGATTGGAACGGTGTTGAGGCTACTGTCTACCTGCACACTGCATCTTCCTCCTTGACACATGCATCCCCTCTGCGAGCTGAGGGTCAAGGTGTCCTTGTGGCTCACAAGTCCCCAGAGGATGAAACTTCCTCAAGCCACTCAGAATGGCACAGTTCAAAATTGTTTATTTCCAGAATTTTTGGACCACAAATGATTCCAATAAATGAATGTGAAACCTCAGCCAAGGGGTCCTCCATGTAAGAACCCAGAGGCTCGGGGAGGCTCGGTAGAGGGCGGGAAGACCTATTGAGAGGTTTGAAGGGAATCTCCTCCTGGGGAAAACACCAAAATTAACCCAAGAAAAAGACTGTCTATGTTAACAGTAGTTGTGGGAACACTGAAGCAACAGTCAAAGATGCACAGGTGTGACGTGTCACCATCTGACCAGGAGACAGCAGGGACCACAGGTGTCTTGCTTGGGAACCTGTGAGGCATCAGTCCCATCAGGTCGTCATCCCTAACACAAATCCTGACATGTAGCTTCCCAGCATTGATTGCCAGCTTCTAAAATCAGAGAAGCGATGGCCACAGCACATTGCATTAGCAGATTAAGTGAGAACACGTGTAATTATCACAACAGCCGCAGGAGAGACATTTGATAAAAATCCAACACCGCCCACCACTTAAAACTCCTAGAAAATGAGCAAGAAGGTGGGTTCTCAGGTGCAAAGGACGTGATGACAGCACACGGCCAGCATCCCCGGGGAGGCAGATGTCATGTCCGCTCTGAAGAAGGACCTTGTGCTGAAGTGGGAGAGACACTAGGGTCACCACCACTCGAAACCAGATGACTGCCCAGGGATGCACAGCCAGCAGGCCACCATAAGCTGCACCCACCTTAATACATGGGAGCATGATTGACGGGGCTCTGAGCATCAAGTCCATGCTGATTTCCACAGCACTGTGGAAAATGTAGCATCTGGGGCTGCCCCTTGGGCTGGCTGCCTTCCACAGGGTCTTCCTGACCTGCAGCACCTGGTCCTGTTCTGCCACTACGCCCTGGTGTGAGACTGGGTCCAGTGAGCTCCGCCTCTCGGGCTCTGGCCTTTTGCCCATGCATCCGGCCAGGGCTTCTCTGGGCTGGGCTGGAGTGCTGCCCTAATGCCTCTACCCTCTTTGGTCTGAGGTCCAGTCTTGTGAGCCCCACTCCCGCTGCCTCACAGACGGCTATCTCGTGTCCACATGAATGAATTGGGAAGGGGTGGGACAGCATGACATGCTGAAGCAAGGCATATAGGGCCAGGGCCCCAGTCTTGGGTGCCAGGCTGCCTGCCTGGTCAGAGTGGTCATTGTGCAGAGAAAGTTCTGCCATGTTGTCCTCATGCTGTCTCCCGGGTGGCTCTACTAAGGAGGCAGGAGGTGGGGTCGTGGCTTGGCTCCGCAGAGAGATGCCAGGGTCCAGGCAGGTCCAGCGTGTGGAGTGGTGTGCCCAGAAAAATGCCTCTCTGTCTTCTCAGGTGGCCTTCATGACACTGACACTGTTCCCCATCCGGCTCCTGTTTGCTGCCTTCATGATGCTGCTTGCCTGGCCGTTAGCACTCGTGGCTTCTCTGGGACCTCCTGAGAAAGAGCCTGAGCAGCCCCTGGCCTTATGGCGGAAGTAAGTAGGTTTTGGAAGGTGCACATGGTAGTGTTGCAAGTATTTGTCGTCACAATGTCATTGTTAGTCCAGTGGAGCCTGTCTTACTCCCTGTCCAAGCCTACCTCACTGGGAACTGTTGCCAACCTCCTGCTGCTTCCTTGGAAGCTGACTGGTCCCTGTGTGTTCCCTGCCTGGCTCCAAGGCTTCATCTTCAGGGTTCTGCAGGCCGCATGTCCACCATTGCTGCAACTTGGAGCACAGAGGTCTTACACCATCAGGGCTGTTGCTGCAGAACTTGCTGTGTCTCCTGTGGCCTGCGCTTGGAAGTCAGTCCAGCCATCCCTCACCTGGCTCTGGGTCTCCAGAGATTCTCTCCCTGGACCTAGGGCCGTGAGTGGTTTCTTTGAGGTGGTTGGGTGCCACGGTGACATAGGCCTCCTGCTTAGACAGGCCCTTGCCTCAGTTCCTTCCACAGAGCTGCCTTACCCTTATACAGGTGCTGTGGGCCAGAGGGTCCCATCCTCCAGGTGTTAAGTGGAGCAGTTCTAATGGATTTGGCTCTGAGAAGCAGATGGCGGCAGGGGGCCAGACAAGACACTCCCTTTTCGACCTGGGCTCATTAAAAGTGGACAGACTGTAAACAGGTCTCAATATCTTATACATCTGGTGATTTGACATCAGAATCCTGGTTTCTGACCAGTCCTGGAAAAGTGGAAGCTCTGGCTGGCCATCAGCAGGAGCCAGGCACAGCCCTGCCCCACGGCTGGCCCAGGCCTCTCACTGCATTTCTGCAGATTGGGCCCCTCTCTTGCTTCGTAGACCCAAACTTATCCTTGCCCTTAAGCATTGGATATAAATAAACCTCAGCTGTCTGTACATGGATGTGCTGTGAGCACACCCAAACTGAAGACAGAGTATAAAAAGTTAAGTCATGTTACAGAATTGCCTTGCTTCATTTAAATCCCTAAAGAAATACTTCAACTGAAAGTGTATGCCAGTAAGAAATGAAAGTGTGAAGATACCATTCATATTTTGATAAATATTTTCAGTGTCTCACCAGCTGTCACACACATCATAAACCAGTGCTCTGGGAGCCCTTCTGTGCTGTAAGCATCTCTAAGCAATATGGGGGTCCTTGAAGAGTTCAGAAATAGAAAGGCCCACAGGTCAAACCCAGCAGCTGCTTGTTTTTGTACACAGAGTTTCACTGGCGTGTACACAGCCATGCTGTTCACTTCCACACCATTCAGGGCTGCTGCACAGAGAACAGAGTTGTGCGGCTGTGATGGGCTGTGTGCCCTCCAAGCCTAAAACACCATCACTGGGCATGTCCCAGGCTTGATGCAGTTGCCTGGCCCTCCCTTTTCCTCCAGGGCATCTGCTGCATGGGCCCTATGCACAGGACACAGCACAGGTGAGAGACACATGGGAAGTGTATTTTCCTCTGAGCTCTGGGTCTCTGGTACCATGTCAGGGTCAGACCCACAGAGATGGGTACCCAGTGTTCCTGAGTCGTTGCAAGCAGGCACAATCACACTAGGTGACAGTTTGCGGGTCAGGGGCCCTCATGCCAGCCTTCTGTGAATGAGTGGACGTCATGACATCCGGCTGATTGTTGTCAACTAGTTGTCTGGGGACCATGGGATCATCACTCAGCTGGTCAGCGTCAGCCAGTATTGTCTTGGGTCCATGATATCCTCACTGGCCTTGGGTTCTTCACTTTGCCTTTCTGATGCAAATCCTCAGAAATGTTCTCCAAAGAGCACGCTTTGTCTTGACATCTTTTGAAAAGGTTTTAAACATAAAATATGACTCTGGTACCAAATATAACCCCGCAAGACAAATCCAGACCAAACCAGAGCCAGACTCAGCTTGGTTGGCACAGAAACCCTGCCCGGAAGCAGAAACTGTGATTGCAACCAGATGCAGGTGCTCAGTGAAAGGTTTGGGCTCCAGGTAGCAAGGGCCTGAGGCTGCCTTCCCGGCGCCCTTTGGCACAATACCTGCCTTGCGCTGCTCTGTGCTGAGCTTACCTCTCCGTCTTGACCACGATCAGGAGTCCTCACGCAGCAGCATGCTGTCTCTTCAAAGTGGGTGGCTCAGACTGTTCCAGTTCCCCATGGTAACCTGGAGGCTTGTGAGTAACCACTCTGCTCCAGCAGGCAGCAAATGGGCCACAGCAGACCCTAGCTCTGACAGCCTTGCTTCAAAGATGGGCAAGACATGCAGGTGCAGAGTTTCACGAGGAGAGGCTGGAATTTCTTAAGGACACAGTGTCCTGAGGGATCTGTGTGTGTGTGTCTGCTGACACTAAGCATTATTTTGTCTGTGTGTGAGAGAGAGAGAGAAAGAGGGAGAATACTTGCATGTGCATGTATGTATGTATACACATTAGAGTGTACTTGTGCCATGCTGTGTTAGGTGGAGTCCCCACACCCCACAGCCCTGGGCATCTCCATCAGCATTTATAGAAAGTCAGTGGGTGTATATCCCTGGGCTGGGTTAGGTGCTGGGGTCAGGAGCTGGATGGAAGAAACAACAGTTAGCACTGTGGACTCCTGAAAGGACACATAGTAACAATGTATCTTAGCTAGGGACACAAGGACTTAAAATAACAAGATGCAACTCCAAGCATGGTAGTATGCACCTGAAATCCCAGCACTTGAGAGGCTGAGGCTGGAGGATTTGCCAGGCCAGCCTGTGCTACAATAGTGAGACCGTGTCTGAAAAACACCCCAAACGTTAAAAAGTAAGTAATAAAATGACAGGATTCAGAGTGGGCAGCATTTTGCTAAATAATAATGACAAATCTGCTGGGGACTTGTTCATTGTACACACAGAGGAGAAGTCTTGAATGGATGGCATTGAGGAGGATTTTTGCTGAATGAAAGTTCCGTGTCATTCACACCTTCCTAAAATAAAAATCTTAGGCTTTCGATGAATGACACAATTTTTTAAAAGGCACTTATTTTAAGTTACTTTCAAAATGCAAAGTGTGGTAGAATCCTAGCATCTTTGTGCAAAACCTGAGCACCTGGAGTGACATAGTCATCCAGAGAAGGTCCTGATTGGCTAGGGGGTGTGGATGGTTGTGGTCTAAGCCCTGGCCCTTGCAGGCTGGACAGCTCAGAGGACCTGTTCCCAAACACTGTGCAGGGGACTGTGTTCCCAGGTTTGGAGCCTGTTACCATGACAGCCCAGGCATCGTGTGTGCCTCTGGAAATCCAGCTTGAACCTGAGCATCACACCATATTCTTTCCCCCTGCCCTTGCCCAGCTTCCTTTGGGCTGCCAGAGGAACAGGCAACACACACAATCTGTGGCATCTGCACCTCCCATGGCTTTCCTGTTCCCAGCAAAGTCAGCCATGGCCCTGGCCCTGACTCTCCTCTCTACCTTCATTGCTGCCCCCTGGCAGGCAGGGTTGACCTCCCTAAGTGCTGGCACCTTCATAGGAGAACCAGTTTAAAAGCATACCTCTGTGGGATCCATTCTTTCTTAAAAGCTGGGGTGAATTCAGCTCTTGCCCCTTCTCCAGTGATGGTTAGGGAACCGGGGTCTTGGTAGTCTTACTCCTGGGTTCAGTCTTACTCAGGCCCTTGGCTGCCCGGCCTCCTCCAGGATGTGTCCTGCCTCTCCAGGTTGGCCCCTTTCTACCACAAGCCCCACTCTCTCTTATTCCCTGTGGCTCTCTCCTCCCCCACCTCTGGCACCCATGTGTCCTCGTGGGTTCTCTCCCCTGTGATTGCAGCCGTTCCACTTTGATGACGTTAGTAAGCCATCAACTCCCAACCTCAACTTCTGTCCCAGCCCTCCCTCCAGCTCCAACCCTAGGACCTGACTCAGTGGATCCAGAGTGGATCTTCCAGGCTCCCCACCTGTCTTAGCCTTGGCCTCTGTCTCCATTGGTAGCAGCTCAGGCATCCTTGGTGGCCTGGCCAGACCTGGGATTCTTTCTCAGGGCACAGCTGGATTTGGTTCCTCCACCCTATTTCTACATGGTCTAGCCACCATGTTGGCCTTGGAACAGCCTTTAGCTGCTCTTCTCATTCCAGCCCTGCAGAAGCAACCTGGTCTGCTCCCCAAAATTAAGCTGTGTCCTTTCAACACCTACATAGTGTGATGATCTGCCACCCCTCCCCTTCTCTACCCCCTCCCTTCATTCTGGTCACAAGGGTGCCTCACCATTTCTCTAGCACTCAGGTATGCCTCTGCCCCCGGGCCTTTGCAAGGGCTGACCTCTCCCTGGAGGGTCCGCCCCAGGCACCTGAAGAGCTAAGCCCCCTTTCCTTCTTATCTTTGTGCTGTGACTTTCTCCTGCTCTTCCTGACACTCTGTGCCCTGTTCTCTTTATTTTTCCTAGATACCATCTCCTGCTAACTTCAGATTTCACTTATTAATTCTTATTCCCACCCCTAAAAAGAAGCCCCAGAGACCGAGTGTAAAGCCGGTGGCCTCAGCCTTGATGTGATTCTGCTGTCTCCTGATGGATACTTCTGTGGGAAAGTGACCTGGGTTTCAGAATCTTCTCTTTGCCCTTGACAACTGGAAGATTTGAAGGAGATTTTTAAGTTGGAGCATTTTTTATATTTTTATTCATACACTCCTGAAGACACATGCTTTTCCTAATTCTAAGAAGTCATTTCTTCCTGTGTCTTGTGGTTCCCTCCCTCTGCCCCTGCCTCTTCCCAGAGCTTTCCTTCCCCATTTTCCTAGTTGCTTCCTGGTGACTTTTCATCTCGTGCTGATTTCCAGGAGGGATTCCTTGCCCTCTGACTGTGCCCAGAGCTCCCTTCTTCCTCACCTCTGTGACAGTACCTGTAAGTGGTAGTGTCTTCAGCCCTTCTTCTGAGGCCCTTGAGTCTGTTCTTAGCTCCTCTGAATGGGACTGCTTCTGCTCAGGCATCTTGGAGTCTGGGTGCTCCCCAGTGTGATTTCCTAAGAAGCTGGTGGAGGTCCCCACACCTAGGCATGTAGCTCATCCCCTGATTAATTTTTCCCCAGAAGTGGGGCTGCCTAGGACCTCTAAGCACTTGAGCTTGTCACCTGCTGCCTTGGCCTTGTGGGGAGAGGCATGAGTCCCAGCATTCCACCGTGAACCAAGCTTTCCTGAGGCCATGTCACAGCACCAGCCCAGGAGTGGGATTGCTCCCACTCTTTTGGGGAAGAGCTGCCAGGTTTAGCTCCCCCACTCCACCCTGGTGCCATCCCACCTTTCCATCCGAGGGCTGGTCAGTATCTCTAATAACAGGTTCAGACTTCGATACACACTTTGCGTTCCCCTCTCCCTCCTGCCCCCCAGGACTGGCTCCTGTCCCCCACAGCCCTCCTTCTTTTTCCATATGCATCAGTTGCTATCTGTTGACTTTTACTTTTGCACATGCTTTTGTTGTGAAAATAACACCATACAGAAAAGTACATTTGGCAGTGTTCAGCTAAAAGTACAAGTGCCCTGTGTGTCACACCTGCCCTCAAGTAGAGCATTGGAGCTTGGTCTCCAGAGTCTCTGTGTCACCACAGTGATTCCTTATCCTCCAAGTAGCAAAGATCTTTGCAAGGTGACTCCTCAAGGGACCCTGGGCCCTCAGTGATTGGCCAAGGCCAGGGCTCTGCTCTCAGGATCCTCCTGGGAGAGTGTTAAGCACCTTGGGAAAACCAGTCAGTCTGGGATCTGGGTTTTATCTGTGCAGCAATTCCGTCCACTTCAGTCACCCGCTTAACCCACAGCCAGCAAGACCTGGCTTCTTCTAGGGCAGTGTCCTCTTTGAACCAGTGACCCTCGGCTGCTGATACTGAGGTCATCTCATGGTTTGGCTGAGCAGTGATCAGGGTATGCCTTGTTAGGGGTTAGAAAAAGGACAGCATGCAGGTTTGTATGTCTTAAGTTCTCATCTGTCTAGAAAGGACAGCGTAGGAAACAAGCTTGCTGATCTAAGCTGAGCTCTTTCTGTCTTCCTTTTGGAGGGAATGGTACTGGGGTTTGAATCAGGGCTTTGTGCTTACAAGGCAGAGGCTCTACCACTTGAGTCACACCCTCAGCCCTCTCTGCTCTTGTTATTTTTGTATAGGATCTCACTTTTTGCCCAGGCCAGGCTAAACCACAATTCTATTCTATGCTTCTTGCTAGGATGACAGCTGTGACCACAATGCCCAGCTTTTTCCTGTTGGAATGAGGTCTTGAGAGCTTTTGCCTGGCTGGCCTTGACCTGTGATCCTCCTTATCTCAGCCCCCCAAGTAGCTAGGATGACAGCATGAGCCACCAGTGCCCGGCTAGGCTGTGTTTTCTTTATTTTGTGTATTCATGTTCATCTAGCTCTTCCAGGAGCAGCTCGGGATGTCCAGCTCCAGGATCCTCGGGGAATGAGGCGAGGGAGGTCCACACGCGGACGCTCCCCCGCTCTCACCCTGGGTTACTCCTTATTTTAATGTGCATTCTTGTATTGTAATGGTTTTTCTATCTCAGTGTGAGAGAATGCTAGAGAGAAACTGCTGCTATTGAAGGGGTGGAGTCTTGAATTTTGACGTGTGGTGTGCTGTGTTACTACTGAGAACTTGGCCAAGGCCCCTGTGTCATCTCCTGTGCTTCCGTGGCAACAGAACACGCTTGACAGCTGCACCTCTTTTCCAGGGTCGTGGATGTCCTGCTCAAGGCTATCATGCGTACCATGTGGTTCGCTGGCGGCTTCCACCGCGTGGCCGTGAAGGGGCGACAGGCACTGCCTACTGAGGCTGCCATCCTGACGCTGGCGCCGCACTCATCCTACTTCGATGCCATCCCCGTCACCATGACTATGTCCTCCATCGTGATGAAGGCGGAGAGCCGGGACATCCCTATTTGGGGAAGTGAGTGAGCCCCTGGGAGAGGGTGAGACCCTGGGAGTGGGTGCAGTCCGTCACTCCCCCACGCGGCAGGCCCTGCTGTGTGGCTTCCTCTACTTGAGCTCCTGTGGGTTTCGTTTGATGGGCACCCAAGTGCCCTCCGACACTGGCCCGTGCAGAGGGGTGTCAGAGGTCTGCCTCCCAAGCCTGATCTCCTTTATCATGTATCAGTGTACAGAGCAGCTCGGTGGACAGCTTGTCCCTGAGCAGCAGTGATGCTGTAGAGCAGGAATGTCAGTGGCCTGGGCTGGCCAACAGATCACCGAAACCAGGTGGCTCGACACACAGACGGCCTCTGTCGTGTTTTAGGAACCACAAGTCCAGAGTCACAGTGGCAGCAGACCATGTCCCCTGCATACACTACAGGAGCCTCTTCTGACCCTGGGACTGCAGACGTCCCTCTGGCCTCTGCATCCGTGGCCACATGGGCTCCCCTCCTCTGCCCCTCATCTGTGGGTCCCTTATAGGGACATTGTTTTCAGATAATCTTGGATGGTCTCATCTTGAGATCTTAATTACATCAGCAAAGACCTGTTTCCAATAAAGACCAATTCGCAGGTTCTGGGTTTAGGACATAGGCACTTTTGTGGGGACCACTGAGCTATCGCACTGTCACTCAGACCTGCTTCACACACTTCGGCCAGCCTCCTTTGTGGTTTCCAGGTGTCTGAGCAGATGCCACAGAGATGAGGGTGTGGGCTTAGTGGGGGTGCTGGGTGCTATGGTGACTCACCTTCCCGGAGGGGTGTTGGAAGGGGAAGGGCCAAACCCACACCTGTGACGGGAGAGCTGCATCCTCCAACTCTGGACAGGCATGAATTAATAGTTGACTGACTGCTAGGAGGAGGGACTGGGGTCCTGCGGCCCCATCCTGGGTGCTGGGTTAATCTTCACAGTGCAGCTGTGCTGGAGATGGACACTGAGCAGCCTCAGCCAAACATGTGCTCAGAGAGCAGAGCTGTGGACCTTCCAGAAACCAATTGTGCAAAGTCCCCTGTGGTGTCCATCTGAGAAAGCGTGTCTCTGGGTACTCCAGTTCTGTGCATGCCAGGCTCCGGGGATGGGCCAAAGACAGGACTTGACCTTGCTCGGGTACAGCCTAGCCCCCGCCTTTCTGTTGGCTTGGCCTTGACTTGTTCACCTCCCCTGGGGTAAACCACAGGCACATTCTGCTGACACTTGGCCAGATCTTGAGGAAACATTTATCATGGCCACGTGGGGACAACTAGTGCCTGTAGATGTGTCTACAACCAAGGATCTCTGGGAAGCAGACACTTTCCCCCTGTGCACAGGGAGGCTGAGGAGCTGGCCCATGATTGCAACCAGGCAGGTGACCAAGGGGTCTGAGACCCAGGCAGGTGGTAAGGGTCCATCCCCACCTTGCACACAATGCTCTGTGACTTTCCAAAGGCTCTGACCTTGGCCGGGTCCACTGCAAATATGGCTTCTGCAGCCCAGGTGTTTCCCTGCACACCTGCTCTACTTGAAATTTATAACCCTGCCCCTTGCTGGGTTCTGCTCACCCCTTGGATGGGGGCAGTACTTGAAGGCTGGTCTGATGGAGGACCAAATGGCCTCTGTCCATAAGGCACTGGACATAGAGAGTGGGCTTCCACGGAGATGAAGTGACCAGGCTGACACTGTGGGCTTGGGGTTAGCAGTTTGTCCTAAGATGAAGTAAGAGTTTTGTGTCTTTGTTAAGCTCATTCTGGCCTCAGTTCACCATTCCAGGCAGCTGGGACCTAGTGAACAGGCCTGCAGGCAAGAGCAGAGTTGGGACCGGGCACTGTCTTGTGCCTGTGAGTGATGACAGAAATCCTTCAAAAGAATCCAGCTAATCCAGGACACGAGTTGTGAAACAAAAATAATATGGAGCGCCAACCAAGCAGAGGCAGCCCCTTCCTGAGCGAGCTTCTTTGAGGCAGTGTGAGATACTTGGAGCCGTGGATGTAGTAGGCTGGACATGGAGCCTGACTTCCTAATAAAGGTAATATTCCATGTGCCTTGAAAGTTGGATCGAATTCCAAGAACTTTGTGAAAGCCAGATGGACACCACGGTGAACAGCATGGACGTCACTGGGAAATTTGCAATTCACTTTGCTAATGCTGCTGGGCACCACAGTCCTCTAAATATGGGAGAGCCCAGACCCTGGGAAGGCACTGGGAAACTGTGTGGGGTTTCAGAGGTGGTGCCCCACACTGTCAGCAGGAATCATCCTTGCCATGTCTGCTGTGCACGGAGGTGCGTCCAGTAGTCTGTACATTGCTGTCATTTTATGCACAATCCTTAGATGGGGACAGACAAGTTTATTAGAAATGTCGAGGGCTCTGCTGCCTCTCATGCAGGAAATAGTTCTCTCTTTTTTCCCTTTCTCCCCACTTTTATCCTGTTATACTACATTTCTTTCTTGATAAACTTTACTATTATGTTTACTGAAAAAAAAAAAAAAGAAAGAAAGAAATATCGGTCAGCTGGACACAGTGGTGCATGGCTGTGGTCCTAGCACTCAGGAGGCTAAGGCAGGAGGATCACTTGAGCCCAGGAGTTCACCTGGGCCACAGAACTCATCACACCTCCTGACTCCGCTTTTGGACCCTTCGACGACTCACAACTTTGTGGAACTGGTGAATGTTGAAAATGTCTAAAATACTCTCATTTTTAGATCTGTCATTACCAACAGTGTGCAACTTGTGACTTCTCACCTTTGCATTTCGGTATCCTGAGTTGCCTTAATGCACTCGCCCCTCCACTTACAGACATAGTCAAGTGACGTTTAGAACTGAAGTGCCACAGGGACAAGAGGGTACCTGTCCTAGGCCTGTTGGCACCATGGGGCACGGCAGGATCTTCTTGCCTGTGCACATGTGGTGTGGCTTGCTGGTGAATAGCCACAATCTTTCTTGCCCTCAGGAACAGCCTGTCCCTCAGGGTCAGTTCTCTGGGGACAAAGTTCACCCTCAACCACTCTGAAGACCCAGAGTGTCACTCAGACAATCAGTGCCACCTTGTCCTTGGAACCTGAGAGTCCTCCTCACCTCCCTACATTGATACTTGAACTCGCCAAGGATGGAGTGCATGCCTGTTCTGCCATCTTTCCTATCTTTGCTGTTACAAGAAGAGAAAGATCTTAAACTAGGATAGACTCGCCCGAGGGTGCTGTCCACAGACTCCTCACGCACTTGGGAAGATGGTGGGGTTCTTTGGAAAACCCATCTGACAAGCGATCGGGATTGTAGAGTCACCCTTGCACCATCCCTCTGGGTGACTGTGTCATTCTTCTTCCCTTTCGTCCTCATCCAGTCACGTTCAGCAGTGTCAGGAAGTTGATGTGTAAGAATGAAATGGTTCCTGGAATGGCGAAATAGCAAAACGATGCAAGGAAAAAATAAGACCACTAAGATCCACTTGGGTCTGACTTTCCCCAAGGACCCCATGGACTTTTGGGTAATTGAAGATCAGAGGGATTTTCTGTGCTCTTTGGAAGACTTCCAAGAAAAATTTAAAGTCATGAAATACTCTTTACAAGTAGCAAAAGTGCTAAGAAAATTACCCACGGCCAAATGTGGCCCTCAGGGGCTGGCTGGAGCTCTGTGAACCCCGGGTGGGGCAGTGGTGAGTGGCTGCGCTGGCCCTGGAGGGCAAGGAGGGGAAGGGTGGCTGTGCCGCACGCACACAGTCCCTGTCACGTCTCAGAGTGGGAGCTCTGCCCAGGGTAGTTAGTTTTAAGGTCCTCAAAATCTCCTAAGGAACACCTCTCTGCTTTTAAGTGCTCTTTCAAGAGGACGGTGCTTCAGTGGTTGCTTTTGGTTTTGTTAGATTGAGCGCTGTCCTTCATGGCTCCGTGAGCGCTGTGCCCCTTACCTAATGGAGAGTCCCCCGTAGTACTCTGGAGACAAAGTACCACAGCTGCAATTTATTCTTTCCCTACTCTGGAAGCCAGAAGTCCAAAAAGCAAGATGTTGGCCGCCTGGCCTGTCTGGCGATGCTGAAGGAGGTCTACGCTGGCAGTCCTTGGTGTTGGCTTTTAGGCGCCTTGCTCCAGCTCTGCCTCACTCATCTCCCCTTTCCTCTGTGTCCCTTCTTAGGAGGACATCAGTCTCTGGATCAGAGTGACCTGATTTTCACTTGCAAACATTCTGTTTCTAGGCAAACTCACATTCACAGGACCAGGAGTGAAAACTGGAGCCTGTCTTTTTGGGGACACAGTTCAACCCACAGTGGTGACTGGGTCCAAGCCTGTGTCCACGAGCCCTTGAGCCCTCTGCTCTGCTAACAGTGTGGCTGCAGACCACCTGCTTTTTGGTGGGGCCAGGCTTCTGTGCTCACTCTCAGTCCCAGTTTTGGACTTGTAGGTGTAGGACTTCCAGCCATCAGGTAAGTGTGTTAGGTGATGTTCTCACTCCTCACCATCAGACATTAGGTCCAGCGCCTGGTGCGTCTCTGAGGGCTACTATCTCCCTGGGTCCCCAGGAGATCCCCTGCCCCAGTCCTGCTGTGTTTTTGGAAACTGCATGCCAACACCACATCTCTCAATCCTCCTGCAGCTCTGATAAGGTATATACGGCCAGTGTTCGTGTCCCGGTCAGACCAAGACTCTCGAAGGAAAACAGTGGAAGAGATCAAGAGACGGGCGCAGTTGGGTGGCAAGTGGCCTCAGGTAACACTGCCCTACTTGTGTTTCAATGGGTTTATTCCCAAAGATGTGACCTTTCAGAATGGGGGAAAGGGGGAGAGAAGAAACCAAAAAGCCAGCTCTGTCTTCTTCTGGGTACTGAGTTTTGTTTTGTTTTGGATTTGGTGAGTGTGAAAATCTAAGAATGTGCTCAGTGTCCAGGGATTTTTTTTTTTTTTTTTTTTTGGTGTCTGGGACTTGAACTTAAAAGAAATAAGGGAGCAGAATTCTCCAGCACTTCAGGTTCCTGAGTCATCATTTTGGTGAATAAGTTCTCCTCAGATGGAACCTTGCTGACTGGCTCTCATGGGTTTGGTCTCATATCTGAGTTAACTTTTAGCCTGAGGTGCAGCAACACTTCCAGAACCCAGGACTGAGCCCGTCACCTGGTGCACCAGCTCCCATGACCACATCCTCTATGCCTACCTCTTCTTGCTGTAGGCAGCGGTCCCAGCCTGTTGAGCTGAGATGCTTTCTGTCTGGCCCACGCTCATTTTTTTCTTTCCATTTGAACCAACACTTAGATGCTGGCAATTTCACAGGACTCCCCAGCCCTGGTTGCTCAGGAAACATTGCAGATCCGGTGCTCGGAGACCATGCCTACGAGCAGCCTCTGTGGGGGCTGCTTTCCCAGAGCAGCCCCTGCGGGCTCATTGCTTCTGGGTACCCCACACAGCAGGTCATTCTTCCTTTCCACTGAGCTTACCTGAGACCCTCAAGTGTGCCCAGTGAGCATCCCCTGCCCCATAGTAGGATCCTCTTCCAGGCCCAGAACTGAAAGCACCAGCTTTCCAATGGGAGGGGTGGGGAGAGGAGTAATTTTAGTTTAATTTATACTATTGCAGGTCAGTATGAATCAGAGTGATTGAAATGCCTGTGTGGATGGGATTTCTTCACTGTCAATGCTGTGGGTGTTTCCTGCTGCCTGAACAGTTCTCCCTGCCTGCCCGAGGCCCCCATCCAACAGTATGGCCCCACACGGGGGTCCCAGCCAGGGTGTGCCCCCACCTGTGTGCTCTGTTCCCATCTGTGCTTTTTTCTTAATGAGAACGATGGCTGCTTTCCATGGCTGCTTATGTTGTGTTGTGTGTCGGTCATTGCACTATGAGGTGGACGCCACCGTCACCCCACTCTCAGGTGCTGCAGTCCAAGAGGACACACACAGCCTGTGTGTTTCTGATGTTTCCTGGTTTTAATAAAAGCAGTGGTTAGAGTGGAGGCAGTGTCTGCTTCCACAATGCAGCCAAACTTTTGAGCTGGGCCTGGTTGGTTAAAGAACCCAAATAATGCCAATAGTAGAGAAAATATACTGGAAAGATGCCCCCCAACTCCTGCCCCGGATTTTGTGATTACAGTGGTTTAACGCTGACTTTTCTGTCTCGTTCCAAGGTAATGATTTTTCCAGAGGGAACCTGTACAAACAGGACCTGTCTAATTACCTTCAAACCTGGTATGTAGTTTTCTTTTAATTATTTCCTCCTGAAGAAGGGAACAGTATTAAAACAGTACCTTTCAAGAATGTCATACATTGATAATAAAAATCCCTGTCATTCGCTTGGGTGCTGGGGTTCTTAGGAATATTTCTAAACTCAAAAAGAATAAATCTTAGCATTTGAGCCTGTCATAGTGCTTGGAGATGATCAAGAAGTTGTGATTGCAAACGTTTGTAATGAGATAGAGACATGTGCCTTTGCTCTGAGATCCAGGAGTGCAGGGCCCTGGTGTGGTGAGGCTCCTTGCCTTTGGAGGTGGCTCGAGGTGCCCTGAGCCCTGGCAGCTCCCACTGCCCACAGCAATGTCTTCCTGGCCTGCAGCTTCCTCCCCAGGTGCAAAGCCCCGAGACCTGTCCTCATAGCACCTGGTGGACAGCACTCAGGAAGCCTTGCAGCAGCATCGTGTACTATTTTTGTTTGTTTTAAGGTGGGGAGCAGAGATGATGCAATGAACCTGGAGCTCCCACGGTGTTGCTTGAGTCCAGCGCTTGGCTTTGGTGGAACTGTAGTGGCAGGCTGGGCAAAGTCCGCTGTCAGACTCTGCCACGTTTGCTGGAAATTCCACACACCCTTGAGGCTTGTTTGTGGTTTGCCCTTCATGTTGCCCTATCTCAGGTGCTTTGCTTTTTGGGGGGCGGGACTGGGCTTTGAACTCAGGGCCTCATACTTGCTAGGCAGGTGCTCTACCACTTGAGCCACTCCACCAGCTCGTTTTTGTATTTGGTATTTTCAGGCTAGGGTCTCCTGAACTGTTTGCCCAGGCTGGCTTTGAAATGTGATCCTCCTGCTCTCTGCCTCCTGAGTAGCTAGGATTGTAGGTGTGATCCACAGAACCTGGCCTCCGGTGCTTTTAGGAGGCAGGTGGACCTAACAAACTGTACAGAGCAAGTATGCTGGTTTCCAGGGGCTGTGTCAGGCCACATGGAGTGGAGCTGCCAGTGAGTTGTTCTGGGCTGCCCTGCCTTCAGGGTTGGACAGCTGGGTGTGAAGTCCTGAGTCCTCCACCTGCCCGGGCTGCCTGTGACTCCTGCTCAGATGCACATGGCTCATCTTCTCTTGGACCAGAGGGAAGGGCTGGCTTTCTCCAGCAAGGATGATTACAATGAAGATCAGAACTCAGTGTTTCCATCACGGGTCCTGAATTGCCCTAACCTGAAGCAAACACAGTGGCTTGGTGACCAGGAGGACAGGCCTGGCCTGCCGGAGAGAGACTGTGAGCCCATCCCACACTCCATCCCTCACCCTAGGTGTGATGTGGGCTGCATGGCTCTGGGACTGTCTTGTGGGAAGCTTCAGTGATGCTTGGTATCAGGCCACGCGCAGAAAATGACCTGAAAGTGAGTTTGGGGTCTCATTCCGCAAAGGGCCTTTGTGAGGGGACAGGGTCGCTGGCCGCCCTCCTCTCGTAGGGCAGATAGCTCTCAGTTGGGAAACATTTGCTGAGAAGACCTCCTTGGGGAGCAGCCGTGGGCCTCAGTTCATTGTCAGTCACAGCCGGTCCTCACGGGTGTAGGAACACAGCAGGTCTGTGAGGAGCCCCACAGCAAGACACAGAGGAAAGCCACTGCAGCAACTTCTCAGCCAGAACCTCCTGCGTGGTTGCTGAAGATAGGCTGACTTGTACCCTAGAGGTCAAACTGCATTTTGGGCTCAGATCATCCCAGTGGGCTCAGTCCAGGACAGTCATCAGTAGGCCTGGGTGAAGTGTTGTAGGGCCTTCCTCAGGACCCGCTGCTAACCCTAGGTGCCCAGTGCTGATGGTGGCCAGGTGCTGCTGCTTTCCAGGGACCTCTTGGAAGGCTCCAGGACTAGGTAGCCAGGGTCTCTTGCCGACTCCTGGGATGGAATTGCCCTGGAAGGCCTGTTCCTCTATCTCCCTGAGAGTCCTGTGACTTTTGGGTTCTGGCCTGAGAGCCCTCTTGTGGTGATGGCGTCCAGAGCCACAGCGTCTCCACAAGGAATTCAGGCAATGCTGCAGCCCATGGGGCCAATGTGGAGCATGTGCCTGAATTCCTTGGTTCTGGGAGGAGCCATCACCCCTGCCCAGATGGGGCTGAGGCTACTGACTACCCATATCCCTGGGCCCTCCTGTCATAGGCCCGGCCCTCTCCCCAGCCTCATGAAAATGCCAGATCACCTGTGTTCTGTGTGCTCCTGTCTGTTGAGTACAGCAAGAAAGAGGCACCTGCAGGGTTGGGTAGAGGAAGCTCCAGCCTGACAGCCCTCTATCCTGGTGCTGCAGGTAGATGTCCCCATGAGGCAGAATCTGAGCACAGACCTGCTGCCTGACACTGTGGGAGAAGTGGCCATAGAGATGGAATCTCAAATTGGCAGGACCAACCTCAAATTCCTGAACTGGTGAACAGAAGGGTACCCAAAGGTGACCAGAAAACAACCTCAGAGGACCCCCTCCCCAACCCAGAGTAGGTACTGACCCCACAGGTAGTCATCCACAGACAGCCTGGGGAAAAGGATTAGCATCAAAACATGACACAGTGGCTAGTGCCAGAATGTCCCTCATCCAGGCAGGGACATTCTTGGGATGTCTATCCATACCTTAAAATCTGAGTATTCCTGACACATGTGTTTTCCTATTTAAGATGAAACCTTCAGCCAGGTGTGATGGTGCAGTGGAAGGAAGATTGAGAGTTCAAGGCCGGCCTGGGTTACATAGGGAGGCTGTCTCAAAAAGCAAACCAAAATCTTCAAATAAAACTAAAGGCTGGGGGTTTTGTAGCACACATCTATAATCCCAGCACTCAGTACCCAGCACTCTTGAGATAGGAGAATTCGGAGTTCAAAGCCAGCCTGGACTACATAACAAGTTCTAGGCTGGCTTGCTTGGACTGCATAGTGAAGCCATATCTCAAAAAATAAACAAATAAAAAAAGAATTTTAATAGAAACAGAATCCTATAAGCAGCCTTGTTGTTAGAGCAGGGAGTGACATAGGGCAGTGTGGAGAGAGTGGAGCGGACTGGTGGGAGGGAGAGCTGGGCAGGGCAAGGTGATCCTACCCCAGCTGTGATCAGATGTGTCTTGTCCTCCATACTGACCTGCCCCAGGGCCAAGCCGAGCACAGACGATGGAGACCCAGGTGGACTGGTGCTCAGTGAGGGGAAGGAGCTTGACAGGTGCTGGGACCCTGAGGCACAGACACACAGGACCCTCGCTGGCCACAGTGCCTTCCCACTCGCACACACTTTTAGAAAGTACACCTCGGCTGGAAGCACACACAGCCTGTGTGTGCCTCCGCTCCTCAGCGCTGGGCCCTGCAGCGTCTCTGGATGGTCACTGCTAGCATGGCCATTGAGAGTACTTTAGTTGACACAGGCTGGGCAGAAGAACCCAGTTTACCCCAGGCCAGCAGGAGTGACACAGGTGAGGACTCGCCTTCCCCGTGCCACCTGCTGCTGTGGGGTGACGCCCTCTGCTTCCCTCGATAGGTGCATTCATCCCCGGAGTCCCCGTCCAGCCTGTGGTGTTGCGATATCCAAATAAACTGGTAAGTTGTGTTTTCCTAGGATCTGGGTTGAGTAGAATCTGGTGGACTGAGAGCTGTATGGTGTTTTGAGGAGCCCAGGTTGCCATATCTCGAGTCCTTTGTCTATACCAGGTAGTGGATATTACACAGCAAATACCACTATGTGGCCTCAGCCTAGAGTGGGCAGGGCAGGAGTCCCCTAAGGTAACCTGCCTGTTCTGCAGGTGCATTGCAGATGAACCCCATGGTTCTAGAATAGTCCCTATATTGGCACACGAAGTCTCCCTTCTATAAGTCATGAAGCAGTGCCCCTCCCTTTTCCATGTTCCATCCCAGAATTTTGGTGAAACCCTCACCTCACCTGCCTCACAAACCAGGCCATTTTAAAATTAGAGACATTTTAGATCTGGAAGAGTGGGGCAGGGGCAAGGGAGGGAGTACCAGTAGCTTCATAGTTAGTGCATCTTTGTTCTGCCTGCTAGGTACAGAGGTTTTTTTAGTTCGTTTTAAAGAAGCAAAATAAGAGGTGAGACAGTTGGTACCCAGAACTCCTGGTGACTTTGGGAGGAAGCTGAGCAAGGCTGCAGAGCAGGTTTCAGCCAGCTTTGCCACTGGGCCTTCCTCTCAGGTGTCCTCAATGCTCTACACATGTCAGGAACAGCCACCTACCCCAGGTGCCTGCCACTCTGCAGACATTCATTCAGTGCTAGCTGCATTGTCCCTTGTGCTGTGGCTCTCGGAACAGGTGTCCTTGAGCCTTGGTGGGCTTCCACAGTCGAGAGACACATGGATTGGAGCTCCATAACCCCAAGTCAGTGCTGGGTACACAGTGGTGTCTCAACTCAATGGAGTGACTTCTGGGTGAGCGTGATGAGGTGGGAGTAGCACCACAGTGAGCTTTTCCTCTGTCTGCAGTAGTTGGTCTTGATGGCAACTGAGGAAAGTTGATGGGGAGAAAATCTTGTAGGTCATGACCTGGCATGGCAAAAGTGCACAAGGGTCCAGCCAGCCCACTTTGGGGCCAGGGCTGCATACTGGCCTGTTGTTGAGGTCACCTGCCACAGGGCTGAAGTGTGTGGACTAGTGCAGTGGAGGCCCCCTGAGCGGTGAGTTAATAAGATGTCAGTCCTGGTAAGCTGTGAAGATTGACTCTAAGTTTTTCTTTATCGTGCATTATTGAACCTCCAAAGAGTCCATCTCCTGGTTAGTGTCCATGATGGCCCCTGTCCAGCCTGTGCTGAAAGCCACTGAATAAATCCAGGAGTAAAGCCTCCTGCAGCCTGTGGGTGGGAGTCCAGTTTCCACTTTTTTTAAGGTCTCCATTGGGCTGCTAAAAGCACATGGCTCAGTTGTCTGAGAAGCAGGGTGTCCCCTTTGGGCTTGTCCCGGAGTTTGTCAGATTCCTGGGTCCCTGGTGCAGACAAGTCTGAGCAAAGACCTTATAGAGGAGGAGCTAGACCAGGGTAGGTGACTACCCTTGGGGGACAGCAGAGGAAAGAAGCCCACACGAGGTGACCAGTCTCAGGGTACAAATGGGTGTCTGATGTCCAGCACCCAGACCAATCGTTGATGCAGTTGCTGAGGATGGGGGTCAAGAGATTCTGAAATGCCCCTGGGCATACAAAGGGTGAGGCAGCTAGGCCCCACGGTGGCATCGGTCAGCGGCAGCTTGTTCTGGGGCTGACGTGGAGGAGCTTGTCAGTGGCAGAGTCCTGTATAGACTTTCAGGGTACAAAAGAGTACAGTATGGGAATGAGGCTGCACCTGTAGCCAGATGTGGATAGGACTACTGTGGGCCAGACCAGTGTGAGCAGGACCAGTGCAGACAGGCCAGGTGTGGTAGGTCAGGTGTGGCAGGTCCATTGCAGGTAGGAGAGATGCAGACAGGACCAGTATAGGCAGGACAGGTGTAGATAGGACCAATGCAGGCTGGCCAGGTGTGCCAGGACAGGCAGGCAGGACAAGTATGGCAGACCTTGTCCTCGGCACTGTGTGAGTGCCCTGGAGAGAGCAGATGGACACCTTAGGTAGGTGAAGGTCACCAGAGGCACCTTGAGATACAGTGGGGAAAGGAAACGTGCGGGGTCTTGGATAGACATTAGAATTAGAGCTGGAGGGTCTGGCCCCCTGGGGATGGGACAGTGGACCTCTTGCCTATCCAGGCCAACATGGAGGAAGGAGACTTGCACTTGTGCAGGGTGGGGTGGGCCTGGTGAGGGCAGCTCACCAGATACCAGGCTCCACTCACAATTAATTCTGCTTCTTTCTCGCTCTTAGGACACCATCACGTGGACATGGCAAGGACCTGGAGCGTAAGTTGGACACCACGTTGTCTTCTTTATCCTCTGTTTCGTGGAAGCACAGGCCTCGGTGACCCCTGTGCCCTTGTTATTTTTGCACATGTGAAAACTGCTGTTTGACAGCAGTTAGCTTTAACCCAATGTGAAAATTAAGTTTAACAATGTAGCCTCGAGTAACACTCCTGGATTCTGGGAATTTAAGCTCCTTGTTCCTAGCACCAGTAAGAAGGTAATCAAGCCCTTCTGGTGCCTGCCTCATATCTGTTAGCTCAGTGACCGCCATTACCCACGAGGTGGCCTCTGGTTCAGGGCTTTGCCACAGGCAGGGGCTCCAGTAGCACTAGGCAAGGGAGGCTCTCTGGGGTCAGAGTCCCTGTTCCACTGAGACACTCACTGGGGGCCAATCATGCAGTGTTAGCAATCCCACAGAATAAGAAGAGCCACGAGGGGGAAGATCCAGCCTCCAGGCCCCTTAGGACCTCCATAATGCTGTTATTAGACCTGAAGTTTTGGAGGGTGGAGAAGTCAGAGGCAGAGACAGAGGTAAGGCCTCTGTGGGAACAGGTCAGTCCAGGGACTTAAGGAGGAAGTGGAACTAGATGCCTGGCAGCTACCAGACCTTGCCAAAATGTTTGGAGCAGGATGCTGAGGAGGTGCCACAGTGGTGACAGGTCTGAATGGTCGTGCCAGGCCAAGTGCTTCCGGTGCTGGAGAGTGGCCTGTGAGGGGCTCCTGTGTGGTCCCATATCCTGGGCTCGGTGCTGACATGATGGGGCAGAAGTGGGGTTGGTGCAGAGAACGTTAGAAGATAGGTTGTCTGTGCTGGGGTTGAGGGGGAGAGTGAGTGTGGGCCCAAGGTCAGGGACTCCAGATCCCACCCTGCTTCTGCTCCTGTAGACAAGGGATGGCAGTGCAGTTCTAAAATCAGGAACTCAAGTTTGGAGGACAAACTTGACTTAGGACATGTGAGTTTGCTTTTTCCAGGGTGGGGGACAGATGTCCTGTGCACAAGGTTCCCTGAGCTGGAGGGCAAGCATGATAAAGGATGACTTGCTAGAACAACCAAATACAAAAGCAAAGAATCAGACAAGCAAAGACCTGTAATTAACAAAAGTTGTCTTTTGAGTCTACTGTGACATTTAGACTGGGCTACATACAGACTGACCACCTCCCTCCTGAGGGCGCGCTTCCTGCCCAACAGCACCCCCTAGAGGGGAAGCCAGAATTGGAAGTAATTCCCTAAAAGAGCTAGGAGCCTTACTTTTTAACCAGTGTTGTAAAATCTACTCAATATTGTTTTTAAGGTTGGAAATCCTGTGGCTTACACTGTGCCAGTTTCACAACCAAGTGGAAATTGAGGTATGTGTGGCTGCAGTGTTACCCAGTGTGATGTTAGGGTCTCTCCTGGTGCAGGGGTCTGTTGTGGCTTAGGCAGATACAGTGTTTCATTGGGGGTCTGAGCAGATACAATGTCAAAACAGTATTCCACTGAGACCTGTGTGGATACAATGTCATGTTGCACTGGGATCTGCACAGATACAGCCTTGTACAGTGTTATTTCTGACCTGTACAGTGTTACATATCATCAGTCCCTGGATATCTTTGCGTTTCTCAGGGCTCCCTAGAGGGGCTTCCTGGTCACTTTGGTTCAGTGACTTTGTGTTTCCTGTAAGGTTTTAAGCAATTTGGACAGGATTTTTTTAAACTAACAAGGAAGCTAAACCCATTATTCTTTTATTGTTATGGTAGCTTAAGAACATGTAAAACTGGTACATACATAATAAAATTTTTTGCTTTTATGTTTACCTAAGACTAATACTACTGAATTTGCCCTGCTAAATTTGTTCTGCCATCATCCTCTTTGGCACTTGGCCAGGAATATGATGCCTTCCTGGTTTTCAGCACCAGAAAGGTCTTTGGGGTCCTGACACCCATCCTCTTGGCTAAATTAAACAGTCCTGTGTGCAGTGTGCAGAATTGGTCTGGGTAGATGAAAAATATTTTCTTTGAAAGGGGCTTGTGATGTACCTGATCTGAAATCAACGGAGTCCTACGTAACTTAGGTACTTGATGAAACAATTTGCTCCATTCCGATAAATACTACGGAGCAATACTAAGTGGACAGACGAGTCCGGCTTTCACCAGGTTGTTCACTTCTGTAACAGAGAAGCCATTGTGGCTTCTACAAAAAGCTAGACCGACCAGGCCATCGCCTGACCCCGAAGGGGGCAGTCCTGTTGGTCAGGCTACTTCGTGGCTGGTTCTGTTGGCTGCCGGGAGGCAGCTCAGCCCAGCCTAAGACAGAGCACGGAGCTTGTGCTGGCTGGGTCTCTTTGGTTTTGAACAGCTGTTTCAGACCTGGCTTCCCATTTCAAGAGGAAAGAAAAGAGACTGAAGGACTTCGCAGAATGCCTCTTAATGTCTTTATCAGTGCTGGTGTTATTGAGAAACCGTTGCATGTTTTGGAATTTTTAAGATGTAATGGTGAATGAAAGCTTAGAATTATACAGCGAGAACTGACAGGATTTCACTGTGTTCCTATATTCTTAAATATCCGTATTTATGAAAAGGGGTCAGGGATGGTCTTTTACCTTCTGGTGCATGGTGAGGGATGGTGGCAGCATGAGGGACTTAGTCATTTAAAAATGCTGTGTGTCCCTCAGGCACGGATGCATTAATGGGATGATTTATTTTAATTTCCAAGTGAAATCGATGCCACGCTGTTTCAAATGTGGAAGTGTTGCTTTGTATCCCCAACACAAGACTTGATACCTTGGGAAATGGAAATGTACATGTAATCGTTTTGCACCTAAAGACTCCGCCCCTGTGTGAGAGGAAGGATGAATGCTCTGAGGCGCTAGAAACTGGCGTGGGGGGCGTGGGTGCTCGGCCGAGCAGTGAGTCTTCAAGTGCACATGTGAGTGCATGCACGTGACTATGTATGTGCACAGCGTGGGCGTGCGTGCGTGTGTGGGTGGTTCTGACGGACAGTGCTCTGACCGATCTTTTGTTAGACTCACAGTTACCGTATCGGGTGGCACTGGTGAGACTGGTGTCGTGTGACCTTCCCAGAGGTAACGCAGCTTCTCTGTGCTCAGTTCCTTCCCGTGTACAGCCCTTCCGAGGAAGAGAAGAGGAACCCTGCCCTGTATGCCAGCAACGTGCGGCGCGTCATGGCCGAGTGAGTGAGCTGCTGTCTCCCCGCACAGCCGGGCGCTCCCGTGGCATCGCTGTAAAACAACAGCCAATCGCATTGGGGAAACGGGTTTGTGCCGAAGTGAACAAACAGGTTCTATGCATGCTAGCAGTAGTGTGTTTGGCCTGGGGCTCGTGTTTCCTGTTTTATCTGATGATGTTTCAACTTGTTTGACATTTAGAAGATGGTTAATTGCTGCTTCATTTTGCAAAATATCAAGTCTGCCACCGTCATCAGTCACGCCGTGCTGTGTTCCTGGGTCACCTAATGAGCAATGGCCAGGCAGGCGTTAGGGGCTCGGCCCTGGCGTCCTGAGTTTCACTCTGCTCATCTGCCTATGTCATGTTTGTGATGTTCTTATTCCATCCCGCTGGGCGAAGTGTAGTGTTTACACATTTAAATCTCCTAAAATGACTTGTGTTATTTACCCGTTTCCATGCAGTTCCTACTTGTATGGACAGCAGTGGCATCACTCGAGGCCCCTTCTTCTCTTGTGCCCCATCCTTCCTTTGCACACACATCCTTAAAACAGGTCTTCTGCATCCCTGCCCACCTCCCCTTACTGGGCAGAGTAATTGCTCCCCCACCTGCCAGCCCCAGCTGGTTGCCCCTCTGCTTTCCCCTACAAGAACCTTGTCAGGTGGGGCTGAAATCTGATCTCTGCAGGTGGCTCTCACACCTGAGCTGCAGGGTCACCTCCACAGCTCTTGGACCTGGGGGTGCCAGCTCTACCCCATGTTTGTGACATATCAGGGTTGGGAGCATGCCTCTGTAGCAAGTTCCCATGATGCTGGGCTATGGGAACTGCCTGTGGCTCCCTAGTCATCATCCACACTTGGCTGGCACATTGCAAATTCATCCTGGGTTCTTTTCCTCACCTTTTCCCTCTCCCTCCAAGAGCATGTGACTGAGTAGAGCTGGAGTGGCACCATCTCTGTCTCCAAGTCCTGCAGCCTCCACCACTGGCTGCTCTGAACAGAACACACTCAGGTGCTCACCAGGGGAATGCACAGGTGCACCTCCAAGCCCAGGCCCCTGCTCACCAGGTTTCCGCTGTGATTTGAGCTGCTTTGCAGGGAGGGAAGGAATTGCAGATCTTACATGGTTTAAGAGCCATCTGCATAAGACGGACTCTGAGGGACTTCACAGGGTTGACAGGTGTGCTCCAGTCTCCTTCCTCATAATTCAGATTCCTCTTAATATCCCAGCCCACTGCACTGTAACCATGAGCTTCCAGGGTGGCCACTGCTGGCCTCAGCCTTCCTTCCTGTGGAGAAATTTGAGACACTCCTGTCCACAAGTTGGATTCCAATTTGGCTGGAGAAATCTTAGCTGTCACTGCTTCCTCGTTACATGGTTGCTCTGTGTGGTCAGGGCAGCAAAGAGGAGCTTTTACAGGAATTATTAGGACTCCATTCACTTCAGGGGATTCCCAGTGGAGTTCTATTCTCTCTGATAGGTAGGGAAAGGTTTTTCTCATGATACCTGACACAACTCTTGTAAAATGGTTTAAGTTCTGACAAAAGGATCTTAGGTCTGTACAGATGAGTTGAACAGGCCTTGTGGGACACCACCATCTTCCCTATGGCTCCTCCACTCCTCCTGGGTCTGAGGTCTGTGCTGTGCTGACCACAGAGCATGACATGTCTGTGATGCAGTTAAATAGGAGTCCGTGCAGACTAGAGGCATGCATGGCATTAGTGGGACACAGCTGCAGGACAACATGCAGAGCTGGAGCAGCCCATGTTCCAACAAAGTGAAATCTGGGACTAGCTGTGGAGGCCTCTGATGGCCGTGCACTGGGCTTTCTGTGGACTTGGTGAAAGTGTCCATCCCACTGGGTGCAAGGGCTGTAGGTTAGTTGCAGCGATTCCTCTTGGGAGCCTTTCTGGCCCCCTCATTCCAGGCCCCCATTGCCAGACCACAGGAGTGGCCAGCTAGAAGGCCTAGACCTCTGCCTCCCAGAGAGGGAGGGACCTTCTCTGCAGTCCCTCCCTGCTGCACAGCTCAGGGAACAAGCCTGGTGCTGGTCCCCAAGTCCTACTCAGTGAGATAGGGCAGAGATGACTGCACACTTCCTTAGGCCCCAGGGGGTCTGTGTGGGGTCCCAGCCTTTGTCCCCAGAAAGCTGTTCCCCTTCAGCCTTTAGCAGGTTCTTTACACTGTGATGGCAGAGTGGATGCCTGCAGTTTCTGCTGGGCTCTGGACTTCTGATAGGCATGGGGGAGGGAGGTGCACAGCTGGGTAGAGAACCCTTGGGCAGAGTGGAAGGTTTGCCTGCTGGTATAAATGCCTTTGTGGGTCTTCCTGTTGTTTTTTCTGACACTTGGACAGTTGTGTGGACCCAAGTGCTTTCTGAGCATTGCGTGCTAGACTCTAGCTGAGGTCACAGTGGAGTCTTTTGTGCAATGTCACCCAGTGTCTGAACACCCTGGTACTCCTGTTCTTGGGAAGCTGTTCTGTTTGTGATGGTCACTCTCTCCTGGGCTTCCATCCATGTCACCTCAATTTCCTTTTTCAGTGTTTAACTTAAAAACAGTTTTGCATAGGCCACAAAACAAAAGCACCAAGGGCTCAGAGTCAGCCTCATCCGTACACAGGTGACCAGTGTCTGTGTGGACTCCCTAAGGGAAGCATGTACAACCTGTGTTCTCTGGATGGAGGCTGTGGGTCTCAGAGCAGGGTGTGCAACAGGCACTCAGTGGGCCCCACTGCGTGGGCTTCCACTCAGAACAGGCCAAAGGAGCTGGTGCCTGTTGGTCTGGGCCCTCTATGGTCCATCAAGAGCCATCCCCCCTGGGTCCATCCATTGCCCAGCCCCTGGCAGTCCCTTCACCCCATCACTGTGAGTGGGAACTAGCCGCCATGGGGGTGACTGACAGGTGCCCCTCTCTTTTAGGGCCTTGGGTGTCTCAGTGACCGACTACACATTTGAGGACTGCCAGCTGGCCCTGGCGGAAGGACAGCTCCGGCTCCCCGCCGACACCTGCCTGTTGGAGTTTGCCAGGCTTGTGCGTGGCCTCGGGTGAGTGTCCTCTGTTCTCCTCGAGAGTTTGTGAGAACCACGTATGGCTGAGGTCAAGGGGAGAAACTAAGGAAATAACGCTTAACATGCTTATTCTGGTTTTTATTTTGTTTTGTTTTATTTTTTTTTTTCAAATATCAATGTGCAGTGATATAGAAGGGCCTTAAAATCCCTTCATGGGGCACCAGCTATCTACATGGAGACCAGCCCATGGGCTGTCCTGGGACCAGGTGCCATATATGGAGAGGCGTATTAGCCATTAGACAGAAAACCTGGCACATGGAGAACTACCGAAACACCTTCAAACTTGAAAACTAACTCACTGCTTATTATGTACAGATTTTAGTACTTTAATGCAATTAAATCTCAAAATGTGACACTAAGGCCTGTTTTAGACTTCTGTGATTTTTTTTGAAAAAGAAGTCCTTCCCTCTTTTTTGTGTAGGCTGAAACCAGAAAAACTTGAAAAAGATCTGGACAAATATTCAGAAAGTGCTAAGATGAGGAGAGGGGAAAGGATCGGTCTTTCAGAGTTTGCAGCATACCTGGAAGTCCCCGTCTCTGACACGCTGGAAGATATGTTCTCGCTCTTTGATGAGGTGGGTCCACTTCGGGGTGTCTCGGCGGCTAAACCTGTGACTTTTCAAAATTCAAGCGGTTCTCAGATCCCCAAAACATCACTGACTTTGTCAGTGTGGTTTATAAGTGCACGCCTGGGCAGGAGCTCTCATTCCTGAGTTTCTCAAGAGGTCTCAAGAATCGTTAGCCATAGACTAACAATTCGTAGTAAGGCTGCAGCGGCGTGCTCAGGAGTTCCCGGGGGAGTCAGTTGGTTAAGAGATGCCCTTTTCACATACGCTGACATTCTCAAGTCACATGGGGACTAGCCCTTGAGCTAATGCCCAGGGACCTGTGTGAAGCCCTAGGTCTCCTGCGCACTGACGGAGGGGATTTTAGGGGATTGACCATCACCTAAAAGAGTCTCTTTCACAGAGTGCAGGTGGCAAGATGGATCTGCGTGAGTATGTGGTCGCTTTGTCCGTTGTGTGCAGGCCATCCCAGACCCTGGACACCATCCAGTTGGCATTCCAGGCAAGTGGGATGTACGTGCACATGGTTCATGGGGACAGTGAGATGTGGTCACATCAGAGCAGTGGTGGTTTTCGTGGCCTCTGCCAGATCTGCAGAGCTGTTACTGCCTCACTGCTCATCTGCACAGGCTTGTGCCAGCCGTCGTTTGTAAACTGCCCCAGAAGCTCACAAATCCTTCTCCTCCAGCCTTAGTGATCCCCACCTGTTTGAGGAGCATGGAATAGGGCTTGGAACCTGGGTGTCTGGGTGTGGCTGCCAACTGTCTCATCTGTTCCCTGTCAGCCTGTTGACTTACAAAGAGAGCAGGGCCGAGACGCTGCCCACAGCCTAGTCAGGAGGTGGTGTCACCTGAGAGCTGAGCTCTTCAACACTGGGGCAAGATCTGGGGTCCATCTCAGCGCACTCAGACTCACAGGGGCCTTGGGGCTCAGGCCTCGCCAGACACATTTGCCTGGATGGAGCTGCACTGGCCTCACCTGTCTAGACACAGGATTTTGTCAGGACCTATGAGCGGGTACAACTCCCATCATCCATACTCTTGAGAACATGAGGTACACGTCAGGGACCGTCTCTCTCCCTTCTGACTGAGCACATCATGCCTAGCAAGGTGGCTTGTGAGGGTCACACTAGGGGAAGTCACTGCACAGTGTCAGCGGGAAAGCCTTATCTACCTTCTGTGCCCAGGCCATGTCCTGTTCTGACGGCCCAGCCCTGCTTGGGCTCCAGAGCCACCAGGTAGAATCTGTAATAGATGACACTGCTGGGGAATGGGGATGGTGCTCAACTGATTTCTGAGCAGCAGAACACGTAGCCTGAGCCCCTCACAGGCACCTCGCAGAGCACACATGGCCAGCACTCGGGTGTCCTAGCAGGTCACACTGGTGCAGCCACGTCTCCACTGCAAGGACAGGCACCTGGTCCTGACTGCATTTCTTCAGACCATTGGCCATGTTCTCATGTTGTGAGTTCCCCATGAGACATGGCCACTGTCCTTGTCTGCTGCCCCCAGGACACTTCCTGGTCCTGGGCACATCAGGCAGGTTTGCAGTGACAGGGCATCTGTGGAGTGCTCCTTTGACATCACCAAGCAAGCTGCCTTCCCCATGCCAGCCAGAGCTGACCGCCAAGACATGCACAGGTTTTAGAACGGTGCCTAGGGCCATAGACACCTGGGACTTTCCACAGGCAGCGCTTGCACGCAGGACATTGTGATGCCCCTCTGAGGTCCATCCCTTGTGCTCACTCTGTCTTAGTATTACTGTGCTGAAAACTGCAGCATGTGATGTTGGGGACACTTACAGCTCAAGAAGGTGGAAAGGAAAATCCTCAGGTCTGTCTGTTTGGCTGACACTCCTACTACTCAGCATTTTCTCATAGAACCTGTAGACAGTTTTTTCGAATATAGAAATACACACCTAGTACCATGTTCTTTAAAATCACAGCCTGAAACCTCCAGGCAGTGTCTGCTGTCACCATAGGCACCACACTTCACCCCATGACCACTAGGTGGGCTAGGAGGCACACGGCTCTGTGTGCAGGCCAGTGCTGAGCGCTGAACTGGCCAGGTCTCCTGACCCCTGCTCACCAGGTGTTTCCAGCAGTCAAGTCCACTTGTGAGCATTGGTGAACATGACCCCCAGAGGCAGAGGTTCACTGAGGAACTCTGAAACCCAGTTTTGCTCTGCACAAACCCACAGCCCTTCTGCTGCCTTGGTTGAGCGAGTCTCCATTCTTTTTGCATGCTTGTCGGTTTGCTCATCAGTTATCACAGCTAGAAATCAGCAGCATCCGAATCCTGGCCAAGATGTGTTTGTTGAATGTCCAGAAGGGGCCAGGGTGGAGGGGCCCCCACAGAGGGGGCTGCAGCACAGCTCTCCACTGGAGCATAGCATCCTCCTCTCTGTGCCACCTGGCCCGAGGGTGCCACGGTTCTGAGAAACTATGGTCAGGGCTGGTGGGACACCCATGGGATAAACATGCCAGACCTGACCAGAGTGGAAGAGAAAGGCCCCCGGGGTGATCTCACTGTCTTTTGTAGATGTACGGGTCACCCGAGGACGGCAGCATAGAAGAGGACGAGCTGTCCTGCATCCTCAGGACGGCTCTAGGGGTGGCAGAACTTAACGTGACCGACCTGTTCCGGGCCATCGACCAAGAGGAGAAGGGGAAAATCACATTCAGTAAGTGAGGCCAGGCGGTCACCCACAGAGCAGTGGTCAGGTACGACCAGGGCTGTAAGCCAGGCATGCAAGGAGAGGCGACCCCAGGAGACCTGGGCACATGAAGGAGTCCCTGCCCCTTCTCCATTCACCCTGCTCTCTGGGTCTCCTAGGCAGCAGAAAAGTCCCTGGGAAGGAAGGCTCTTCCGGGAGCCTGGCAGGGTAGGTGTGGAGCTCATGGCTCCAGCTTCTCCAGGCAACCTGTAGAGGCAAACTCCAGGCTTGGTTCTAAAGCCCAGAGCCCACTATGGTGGAGGCTGTGGCAGCTGCAGGGGTCATGACTGGGGTCCCTGCAGGGAGGACACCCCCGCTGGGTCCCATCAGCAACTCACCACAGTGAGGTCTCATCCCCCACAGAGGCTTTAGCTGCATTGCCAATAGGCATGGCCCCAGTCACACACATCTGCACACTCACACACGCCCAGCCACGGCACTGGTCACACACACACACCTCCAAACACAGCACTGGTCTCACACACACACACACAAACACACAAAACCAGCCATGGCACTGGTCACACATGCACACGCCCAGCCACGGCACTGGTCACACATGCACATGCCCAGCCACGGCACTGTCACACACACAGTCACAGCTCTGGTCACACACACACCATAGTCGCAACCTGGTCACACATGCACGCGCGCGCGCACACACACGCGCGCGCGGCCCTGGTCTTGCACCCCGGCCAGAGTGTGCCTGCCAGGAAAGCTCACAGAGGGTCACTGCCTGTGCTGACACAACGACTTTCTCTGGGAGATACCTTCCGAGGGCACTAATGTGGTGACTGGGAACTGGGCTGCATTTCCACACACAAGCCCCTGACATCCAGTGCTTTAAAATGCTGGATACAGTCGTAGGCATGGCTCAAGCAGTAGAGCGCCTGCCTCACAAGCATGAAGCCCTGAATTCAAATTCCAGTACCACCGAAAAAAAGAAAATATACAAACAAAAGGACCGGAGGCGTGGCTCAAGTGGTAGAGCCTCCACCGTCTCTCACATTGCAAACCTCCCCATGGTGCCTCAGGTGGGAACCAGGGTGTTCTCCCCCTCTGAGGCCCGGTGTCAGGGAAATGCACCCCAGACAGCCTATGGGAATGGCCCTTCGCTCCTGGCAGGTCCCCCAGTACTTACACACGGTCAGTGGGCAGCACCTCCCTCCAATGCCTGCCAAACATGGCCTTGACCCCAGACCAGCACCATTTATTCACAGCGCCTCACAGGTCTGAAAGGCAGACCCGTTTCTGTTGGACTGACAGTCACGCACTTACCCTTGAGTTTCCTGAAGGCAGGAGTAGCTGTGAAGGGACTCAGTGGCTGTCCCTTTGTTTTCATAGCAACTTAGTGTGTAGCGGAGAGAAACCAAGGCCCTTCGATAACACAAACTTAGACTCTCCACGCCCCAGAAAAGGGAGGGAATGCCCGTGCAGGCCCACGGTAAAAGCCCTGAACTCTAGGCAGCTGGCTCCCCTGGCCCCGGTAACCACAGGTCCGTTGTCTCGGCAGCTGACTTCAGCAGGTTTGCAGAGATGTTCCCCGACTTTGCAGAGGAGTATTTGTATCCCAAGCAGACGCAGTTTGACAGCTGCACACAGACCCCGCCAGCGCCGACCCCCAACGGCTTCTGTACTGACTTCAGCCCCGAGGACTCGGACTTCGGGAGGAAGCCTTCCCACAAGAAACTGGACTAGGACATGGGACAAGGATCCAGAGGGGTGAGGCCGCTCCCGTGTCACCACCTGCCTCCGTGTGGCCCCCAGCCCGCGAGCGCTGTGCTGTCGTGTGTGGTCATCGAGTTCCCAGAGACTTGGGCCTGTTTTACCTGTTTCTTTGTGACGAGCGTCTCAGAACCCAGCCTGTTGGGACTGCCATGTGCCGAGGGTGTGGAGGGAAGTCCCCGTGGAGGACGGGCTTTGGAGTAGGCCAGGCGGACAGCGGGCCTGGCTGTGTTCCCACCTAGAGTGTCCTGGTCTGGAGTTTCTGTCACAGTCTCCCCACGTTCCCTTTGTGTCTGTGTATGGCCACGACCGTAAGGTGATGGCTTCGTATGCCTACCGCACACTCCCAACACAGGGCCACCTGTGTCCACCCAGAACAACCTCTGCTGCCTCTGTGGGTCACAGCGTGGCCGAGCTGTCGTCTGGTTTTTTAACGTTTCTAGATTTGTGCGGGAGCTCATGAGTATTTTATAATCTTCCTTTAGGTACTTCGGAAAACATTCAACATTTTTTTAAAAAAAAGAAGATTGTTTTTTACTTCACTTTTCCTGTTGGCATCAGAGGATATTTATTTGCAGGCCTGTTTTTGATAGACTCTGAGGCTGCCACGGCTCTAGTGGACGGACTTCTACCAGGGAGAGCCCTGTCCTCCCGTCCAGGCCCGCAGGGAGCTGGGCCTCAGTGACCTGGCCCCAGGCACCTCTCCTGCCTTCCCTACTCCTTTTTAAACCCTCTCTTTTTTATAAGCGTTACCATTTTGGTATTTCTGTTTCCACATAATGAAATCTAATTCACTGTAGCTTCAACTCCAGTCAAAGCCTTGAACATCAGTTAGGTGAATGGGGTGGAAGGAAAACACTGGGTGACAAGCCGTCAGCCTGCCTCCAGGCCTGTCACCTCCTCCTCGAGGAGACTGAGACCTCCCTCCCTGGGGGCCCTGGTTGGAAGCCATGGCTTCTTTTTCTTTTTCCCCATTTCTGTGGGGACTTGGGGTGAAGCAGCTTCCACACTGAGCAAGGCTGATCTTCCAGAAAGAAGAATGGTTCTAGTCCTTCCCCATGGAAGGATTGGCATGGGGGTGAGGGGTGATGGCCTCACATGGGTGGATGGGCACATCTCTTTGCCAGCGTGTGGTACCTGTCCCTTCCTAAGGTCAGGGAGACTAGGAGCGGGGCTGGGCCCTAGGAACTGGGAGTCTTGCTGTCTGTCACCCTCACCGTCTGGCTTCGCCATTTTTTATGGCGCCATTACCAGCCCATCCGTAAAGCACAGTAGCGACTGTAGGTTTAGTTTGTTTCTTCCGCGAGGCCTCTGGCATGTTTGGAATGCATTTCTTTCCCAAGATGAATTGGATTTTACACTAGGGGCATTGCTATAGGAAATGACCACAGGGCCAGTAAGGAGAGGAACACGTTTACTAACTCCCTCGTAGAGATGGGCACAGGCGTTCTCCACTGAGACGTGCAAAGGAAACCTCAGTCACCCAGCGCCACACTGCCGGCAGGACAAGGATGGGGAGCATGGTCAGCTAAGCCCATTCCGGGGCTCTTGACTTGTTGGCCAGGAAGGCATTTGAATGTAGCCTTGGTAGCTAATGGGGTTGATTTTATAATTACGGAGTGCATAGAGATTCGTTTTCAAAAGAGAAAAGCCTACCGTGATCAATGAAGGAGGCTAATAACGAAGATATTCAAAGGTCTGCAGATGAAGTGGGTTTTATGAAATGTCACTGTGCACATTCAGGAAAAACCTCTGAGACGCAGACCTGGAATGGATGTTTGTTCCTCCTGATCCCTTTTTCTCTTGCATAGTAACCTCAAGTCCACGGCGTCACAACTGTGAATGTGTATAGCGGGGGTCCTGTAAGATGCTGCCATGTAAAGAATTTAGGGCCTGCAGTGAAATAAACACGTTAAGTCTGTACTGGAGGGTGTTTTGTTACGTCCTTTGTTCCACAGACAGACAAGAACAGACACTTCTCCTCCCATAGGAGAAGTGATCAAGATCAGATGTTCCTTGTTTCTGGTGGGTTTGGAAAACACAATTGAACTGATGAGAAAAAAGCTTTCTTGGTAACATTTGAGGTCTGGAAGGTTTGTGTATTACACAGACAGTAGCAGAGGTCTTAGAGACTCAAACTTGCATGGCGTTTTCTACCTGGTGAGTGACTTGTAATTTATCTGTTGTAAGTCTCTGCACCCTACACACATTTTGTCAGTGAGAGAAAAAAAGATGCATCTTGTATTCAGTCCTACAAAGTCAGTAAAAGATTTAGAAATAGAAGCAAAAGAAGCAGCTGAGGAATTGCTCCCTCAAAAACCATGAAAAACCATGACAATAAGTTTACAAAGCCACCAACTTCAAGGACCAAATGGTGCTCAGTAATATTGTTCAAAAAAACAAAGCAGGGACTGGTGGAATGGCTCTAGCAGTAGAGTACCTGCTTAGCAAGCAGGAGGCCCTGAGTTCAAACCCCAGTATTGAAAAAAAATAAAAAGTTACTTGGCCAGGCACCAGTGGCTCACACCTATAACCCTAGCTACTCAAGAGACATAGATCAAGAGGATCATGGTTCAAAGCCACCCCAGGCGAGTAGTTCACGAGATCTTATCTCAAAAAAACTCTGCACAAAAAAGGACTGCCCGAGTATGGCTCAAGCTGTAGACCCTGAGGTCAAACCCCAGTACCACAAAAAAAATAAATAAATAAAGCAGGCTATGGGGTGGGGTCGAAGCTGGGTGGCAGGCCCCAGGCTCTGATCCTAAGGGGCTGGGCCAAGATGGCAGGGTTCTGGTGCTTGGTAGCCCCGAGTCAGATCAGAAGCCCAAGTGGTGCCTTTTAGGTCAGGAATGGGTCCAGGTGCCCCCAACACCAAGAGAGCAGCCTAGGGGCTGGCGGAGATGCACTCGGCATGGAGAAGCAGGCACACCTGCTGTTGAGGACCAGAGGAGCTGGGTAGGCATTTATATGAGTCACAGCACCCAGACCTCAGCATCCCCTGCTGGCAATAGGGCCAGGCAGGGCAGCCAGGCTGGCTGCTTTCGTATCCTCTCATGACAGGTGACCGGTCAGTCTGTTCTGTCAGCGAGGTATGCATCGTCCTCGTGAGATTTGTGATGGCAGAGCCAGGCTGAGGGTGGGCGTCGGGGATGTCCAAGAAACTGGTGACAGTTGTCTAAGGTGCGAGGAGAGGTCAGGAAGTGCAGGGACCCCGCCGCCAGACTGCTCCCTGCCCCTTTCCTGGGCTGTGACCTTGGACAAGACCGAGGCCTTAGTTTTCCAATCTGTTGGAGTGGCAAGGCTACAATGTAGTTTTGAGGGTGAGGTGTCTGGCACACAGGAGGCTTGCTAAAGCCAGCAGCAGGGCTGGTCTTCTGTCTCAGATATCCTTGGGCCTCAGGGACCTTTTGCTTGGGAAAGCAGCTTGGATGCTATGATGACAGCCATCTCTGTCTCATGTGACAGCCCTGGCCTGGGCCCTTCTGAATGAATCACATGGATTTAGTAAGACTTTGTCTCTGTCCACATGGGTTCCCCAGGGAAGAGGGAGATGCTTAGATAAGTGCTTTTTCTAGGGGTTTATGCACCTGGTGACACCCCAGAAAATAGTTACCTCTGGAGTTTGTATTCGGAGCTTGATCTCATAGGCCCATAGACTCAGGGTTAGGAGAGTCCTGGTCCTTTTCTTGCTGGTCTTGGTGCTTATTAAGCTGTGTGTCTATGCTTGGTGGAATCCAAAGACAGCCCTGGAGCACATCTGTGAGGAGGGTGAGGGAAGGAACCACCAGGCCTCCTTGGGAGTTCTCTGCCTGTTCGAGTGCTGATGGAGGACCCTGGGGAGAGGGGCTTGAGCTTTATTCTACTTTTGAGGAAGAATTCCTGAAGCAGACTTGTGATTTTGGAGGCCTGAACTATTAATGAGGGTTCCTGCAGAGCAATAACCATTTGTCAGAAGCAGACACAAACAAGCAGGTTATTGATAGTGCCATGCCCTTTATGTACTACTTGGTGCTTTCTCTAAGGATCCCCAGACTTCTGGGGTGTGACCTTGTCCCCTGTCTACCTGACATGCCCCCAGCCCAGAAGTGCTCCTTTGTGCCACCCCTCCACTAACTGCCAACTCCACACCAGGCACTGAGTTAGGCTTTCCCACCAATGATATGTGGAGGGAAATTGTGGCCTGGTGGTGGCCTAGGATTTCTCTTCCCCACTGAAGGCCCCTCTCGTACAGGTGGCCACCTGCCTGACCCAGCACCACTCACACACTTGTGTTCCTGAGCCCTGCCAGGCCCTGCCCCAAGAGCTCCTCCCCCTGCTGTTCAGGGTGGCTTTCATGGACAAGAAGACAGTTGTACTGCATGTGCTTGTGCACACTTGGCCCTTGCCACTGCTCAGCTTACAACAGCTGCTGCAGGAGTGAACCCATTGTGGGCCCTGCTTCCCCGTTCCTTGCCTCAGGCCGTTCCTGCTCCCAGGAAGCACACATTGCGGGTTCTGGACATGACTGGTCTTCTGGATGATGGTGTGGAGCAGGGTCCTGGTACCATGCGCATGTGGGACTGCACGGCAGCCGTGGCCCGCACATGCATCGCCCAGCATCAGGGTGGGTCTGCTGAGCCGGGGCTGACCCCCGTCCCTGTGGAGGTCCGTGTGGACCTGCGGGTGAACCGGGCCCCCTATGCATTCCTGCGTGAGCCACTCCGAAGCAGTGTGGACAGCCCTCTGCGGCTTTGCTGCCGGGACCTCCGAGCTGAGGACCTGCCCATGCGCAACACTGTGGCCCTGCTGCAGCCTCTAGACGCAGGCTGCCTGCGCCGTGTGGACCTGCGTTTCAATAATCTGGGTTTGCGTGGCTTGTCTGTCGTCATCCCGCATGTGGCCCGCTTCCAGCACCTGGCTAGCCCTCTGTGCATGGTGAGGACAGCTTCTGCTATTTCCTGGCCCAGATGGGTCGTTTCACCTGTCTACAGAAGCTCAGCATGGGCTCTTCTCTCCTTTCTGGCAGGCTGGACTGGTTGCTCAGGTGAGTGGGCCCCACCACTGTTTTGTCCCTTCCCCTCTATGGGACCCTCCCCTGGGTCTGCCTGTCTGTGACCCCTGTGTCTCTGCAGCACCCTGCAGAGCCCCCTGGAGAGCCTGGAGCTGGCCTGTGCTCTGCTGCCTGAGCACCTACGCTTCCTGGCACGGAGCTCCCAACGCTGCCCACCTCAAGAAGCTGGACCTGATGAATGGTAATGACCAGCCGGCACCCTTCCAGGGTTTGTTGCAGGTGCAGAGCCACACTGCTGCATCTTGAGCTGACTGAGTGCCAGCTTGCTGATGCCCAGCTGCTGGCCACTCTGCCCACATTGACACTCTGTCAGGCTCCGTTACCTCAGTCTCCATGTCAACCCACTATCTATGGCAGGCCTCAAGGAGCTGCTTCGGGACTCAGTGGTTCAGAGTGAGCTGCGCACTGTGGTGCACCCCTTCCCTGCGGATTGCTATCCCTGCCTTGGGCCACCATCTGCATCTGTCCTGCTGGAGGCCTCCATCAATGAGGAAAAGTTCGCCCATGTAGAAGCTGAGTTGCACCAACAGCTGCAACTCAGCTGTATCAGGCCATGCCCATGTACTCTGGACCACAGACATCTATGGGCGCCTGGCTGCGGACTATTTCAGCCTGTGATCTCCAGGGTTCTGGGTGAGAGACAGGCAGAGAGCCTTTGCTAGGACTCTTGTGGAAGCCTGACACAAAGGCCCTGGTCTCAGTGCCTTGCTCCTGGGTGCACCTTGAGCCTCCCCCACTTCCTTCAGTGCCCTGCACCTGTTTCCTAACTAGCTGTGGGCCTGGAATTTCAGGCCTGCATTCCCCTGCTCTGTAGGACTCCACTTGTCTGCTGTCCAGGGTACCGGTCCTTCCTGAAGATGCTCTTCGAATCCTAGCTAGGGGCTGAGAGAAACAGTGGTCTCTGGACACCTTCCATTCCCTTGCCAAGAACACAGTGCTCTAGGGTCAAAGTTGGGAGGGGGTCTGCTTCAGGGAAACTTGCCCCCCTCCTGCACTCTTGAGCCTTGCATTGTTCCCTGCCCTAGTGTGTAAGCCACCTGTCAGCAGGCTCTGGGGCTGCAAGATGTCATCAAGTTACAAACACGCAGTGTGTCTGGAACTGGAAAAATGAAAAAGAAAACAAAGCAGCAGCTTCAGTCAGTCTGTGTGGCCCACCCCCATTTGGTAAGAGACGATGGTACAACATGAAATTATTTCAACAATTTTTATTTACTTCTTTGTCCTTTTATGCATTTGTCACTTTTAATATGAGTATTGCCTTCAAAGCAGATTAAATATGTTTAAGTTTTCTTAAGTAAAAAAAAAAGCAAAGAAAAACAAGAACTCCTGGCTTCACACGCAGAGCTGCTTCCCAGAGTCGCACGGTTGAAGACTACAGGAGACGCAATGCCTCCCAGTGTGGGTCCTGTGGACAGTGGCCATGTGTGCCTTGTCAAAGGTCACCCCCATGTCCCACCAGATGGGCTACGTCTGGATGGTGGGAGGCTCGGATGCACCAGAGATTGCAGCATGTGCCTGTGGCCAGGCTGCACTAGCTATGAAATAAGTCCTGTAGTCACGAGTGGGAGATCACAGTCGTGAATAAGCCTCTCATCTTGTTCTGTAAGACGCTGGCAGCAAGGCTGAGAGGACGAATTGGAGTGTGGAGTAAGTGTGATAACCAGGAGCCATCCTGCTCTGTGACCATCTGCCTGCCCCCAGGGGCTGCTAGGCCACTCCTGGGAACACAGCTGGATCAGAGCTAGGAACTGCAGCCTCTGAGGAGCTGGAGCTCCATGGCCAGCCAGAGACCCATGTTGGCTGACCAGTTGTGTGTGGCTGGTCCATGCTCGGTCCCCACTCCTCCTTTCCTACCTCTTACAAAAG